GGGGGGATGGTTTGAGGGTAAGGACAAAATAAATTGATTTTTTCAACAAAAAAATAATTGTAATTTGAAGTTGGAAGAGATGTTTGGAAAATGTTTTCCTTAAGTTTAGAAGGGAAGTCATTTTCCTTAAATTTGAAAAAAATGAGTTGATTTGAAAAATATTTAATCCAACCAAACATGAGAAAATTGAAAAACATTTTCCGGAAAATATATTCCTTCATACCAAACACACCCTTAATGGCAATATTCATTACGCACAATTGAGTTTATTCTTTTTGAAACAGACTAAGAAGAAAAGTAAGACAAACAAATTGAAACGAAGTGAGTAATAGATATTTCAGTGAAAACAACAACATCCTGATTCTCCAAGAAAAGCTGTCAAGTGAGGTTGCTAAGAAAGTTCATATGCCTTTTTTTTCCATTCCTTGGTGACTAAGTTATATATGAAGAGTAAAGACCTAGCAATTTCCTTGAAACATTCTTTATCCTTCATGTTTAGTTTATATAAAGTTCCAGCTCTGTCATGTTTCACTTCCCTAAAACTATAATCTCTAACATATAATAAAACCAAGAAAATTTCAGTGTTTTTTGGCTATGGAATCTGATTCATCCTCTATTGATCTTACTCGTCTTAACGAAGAGTTGCCAGTGAAAATCGAGGAGATGTTGAAATTGAGTAACAAAGAAGATGACATAATAAGTCTCAGGTTATTAGACCTGACAGATATTGATGATTTTATGGAATGGTTTACGGATGACAACGTTAATAAGTTTTGTTCTCGTGACACTACTTTCATATCCAAAGAAGACGCGATGCAATACATTGCTGATGTTGTTATACCACATCCATGGTACAGGGCAATATGCTTAAATGACAAGCCAATTGGTTCAATTTCTGTATCACCATTTCATGGAAGTGATATATGCAGGGGAGAAATTGGATACGAGATATCATCAAAGTATTGGGGCAAAGGGATTGCCACCAAGGCGGTGAAGATGGTGGCGTCCACCATCTTCGTAGACTGGCCCCACTTGGCCAGGCTAGAAGGTATTGTGGCTGTTGATAATATAGGATCACAAAGGGTGTTGGAAAAGGCTGGTTTTATTAAGGAAGGTGTTTTGAGGAAGTACTATCTTGTTAAGGGGATACCAATAGATATTGTTATGTTTAGTCTTTTATTTATTGATCAACAACTTACCTACTTTACTTGAGCCGAGAATTTATTGGAAACAGTTTATTTACCTTCACAAGGTAGGAATCAAGCTGTGTAATATCATCCTCTCCAGAATCTCTAGTTGGCTAAAGTGGAGTACTCTAGTATGTATAACTATTGTATAATTCTCTCTCTATATATGAATAACATTGTATATCATTATATTATACAAATTGTAATAAGTATACGCTGTTATACCATAAGATGGACTGAACTCTCTGCTTTTTGAGACTAAAGCCAGAAGAAAGAAAAAAAAAATGAAAGAAAAGGTGTGCAACACTTTTGGGCTAAAGATTTATGATATAAGTTTTGGGCTATAAATATGCTTCATAGCTACAGTTTGCTTAATTATGTTTCATAACTATAATTTTGTTTGTTATGAATATTTATGTTTGTATATTTCGCTTCCAATATACAAACAAGGTAAGTATATAATTATTCTGTATTTATACATTTAGTATTTTTTAGAACTTCATTTGTATATTTCGCTTGCCATAGGAATTTTTCAGAACTCCATTTGTATATTCCGCTTGTCAATAAACAAACAAGGTAATTTATATTTTTCATAACTTATACAAATCAAATGTATCAACAAATTGTATACAAATAACTAAGGTAAGCATATACAAAATCTGAATTTATATAATCAGGAACCAAGTTATACAAGTTCTGGATTTATGTAATTAGGAACCTAATAGCAAAATTTAAGAAACTTAAGCAGCAAATCATAAATATCCAAAATGTAGTTATGAAGCGTAATACTCCCTCTGACCCTATTTTCTATTCCATTTTTGACTTGACACACTTACAAGAAAATAATAATTGACATAATGAGTTTACCTTTTTACCCCTATGAATTGATAGAATCCCAAAATCAATTTACTTATTAAAGAGCTTCCACCTTTTCAAAAAAAATTAACTCTTTAAATATATTGAGGATATAATAGATAAAATATATTGTTTTTTCTTGATTTATCAAAAATGACTAGTAAAAAATCAAAATTGAACAAGTAAAGAGACAGAGGGAGTATACTTTAACACTCTATTTGGATCATTGTTACCCATTGTTTTATAATGTATTGTATTGTACTCTATTGTACTGTATTGTATGGTAGATATAGTGTTTGGCTAGACTGTATTGTTTGTTGTTGTTTAATAACATTTTTATTTTTGGTTTGACTGTATCGTATTGTATTGTAATTTATAAATTTACTAAAATATTCTTAATTATTCTAGGGTAGGAGGTTTGACTAGAATTAAATAATATAAGGTAAATGGTAAAATAGTATTATGAAATATTATGTAAAGATATAATTGGAAAAATAAATTATGTAACAATGGAAACACACCAAATTGGTTGTTCCATAAAATGGGGGTTTTCATTGTTACGTAACAACGAAATTTAACAATACAATATAATATATTTGAGTAACAATCAAAACAAACATGATAGGTATAGTAACGATACAATACAATACAATCGGCAACAATGATCCAAACAGAAAAGCGCCATCTTGTTGGAACACTAATTCAAAAGCCATAGGAAACCAAAATTGTTTACGATTTGATATTTGATAGTTTTTTTAATTCATGTCTGAATAGGATTTATAGTCTAAATTATATATTGACTAGGTTTTCTAGCTAATATAAGTTTTGCACAAAGGAGAATTCTGAATAAATTATTTTTCTTCACAAGTTTTTCGTGTTTCAGTAAAAAAGAAGAAGAAGATGATCAATCAATCAATCAGACATAATAAGCCTCCGGTTATTGGAGGTTAGTGATGTTGATGATTTTATGGAATGGTCTTCGGATGACAACGTTAGTAAGTTTTCTCAGGAACGTACTTTCAAATCCAAAGAAGACGCAGCGAGTCACATTGCTAAATTTATTGTACCACAACGATGGTTCAGAGCAATTTGCTTAAATGGCAAGCCAATTGGTTATATTTCTGTATCACCTTTTGGTGGAAGTTATAAATCAAAGGGCGAAATTAAATACGTGTTATCATCAAAGTATTGGGGCAGAGGAATCGCTACCAAGGCTGTGAAGATGATGGCGGCCACCATCTTCATAGACTGGCCACAATTGGCCAGTCTTGAGGGTAAGGTGGATATTGAAAATACAGGATCGCAAAGGGTGTTGGAGAAGGCTGGTTTTACAAAGGAAGTTGTTTTTAGGAAATATTATTTTTTTAAGGGAAAACTAAGTGATCTTGTTATGTTATCGTTAGTCTTTTACCTACCGATCAACTTACTTGAGTCGAGGGTGTATCAAGTTTATTTATCTTCATGTCTAAATAGTATTTTATAGTCAAAATTTTATATATGAATAAGTTTTCTACTATCTAGTTAAAATAAGTATTGTATTATGGAAAATTTTGAATAAATTATCATTTTTTCCTTCACAGTTTTTCATGTTTGGTCTTGAGGCAATGGAATTTGAAGAATTGCTAATGAAATTCGAGGAGATAATGAAATTTGGATTATAAATTACTTTTTTTTATATGTTAATAAAACTCTGTTATTGGGACCAAGTAATTGTCGCTTCATATTTTCAGGGGAAACAGAGTTTCTTTTCCCAATGGGAAGAAGTTTTAAAACTTCAAATTTCGTTCCTAATTAGGCTTTTAAAGTTGTCTCCGTGAAACTTATAAGTTACAGGTTACCAGTTCGAGTCGTGGAAGCATCTTGTGCCTGGGGCTACCCTTAATGGATACACAAGATGTTGGATCCTCCGTAAAGAGACAACATGAAGAATGCTGGAATTCCATTCGAGTCCATCAATATCCATGATACAACGGGTAATGCTTGGTGGACTTTCAAAGTTAGTCATGTCAATAATTGATATGCCTTTGCTGGAATATTTCCTCCTGTTATGTACTCCACTCTGTCATGCTAGATCGCGCAGATGTTTATTGTAACTGATGGTCATGGCACATTCTCCCCAATTGTCACTCTCCGGGCTGAAGATGTGTCATATCAGACGAGGTTAGATGATATCACAGATGGTGCCCCATTCCGGGCATTTGCTGCACTATGTGGAGGTCCTAGTGAAGAATGGAATGAATATGCTTATATTGATTAGCCTTGAAATGTTAGGCTTTTGTTGTGCTGATCGCTCGCTGCATTGTTATTGTCACTATGACCCAGTTAAGACGAGTTTGATGATTCACAAAAGATAGTTTTGTGATGCTTATTAACTTATAATATGCATTGTCCTCTTTTTGGGTTTATGAGTTGTGTTTTTCGGAAGCAGCCCCTCTACCTCCACGAGGTAGTGGTAATTGGTAAGGTCTGTGTACACTCTACCCCTTCACTAGTGGAATTCCACTGGGCATGTTGTTGTTATTGTTACAGGATGGAAACTCTGTAAAGATTTTCCTAAATAAGATCTCAAGAATTAATGATTTAAAGAACTTTTGAATCTTGTCAATCTTAAACTAAAAATAGGTAGAATGTATGAAAATGCCCTTCAATCTTGTGGTCTTAAACATGTCATGTGGAAGTTGAAAAAAAAAAGACATTCTTTTTTTGAAATAGATTAAATAGGAAAGTAAGACAAACAAATTGAAACGACGCGAGTAAATAAGATATTGCAGTAAAAACAACATCTTGATTAATTTAGTACTTGTGATGGATTCTCCAAGAAAAGGTGTCAATTGCTAAGAAAGTGACCCATGATAGTTCCATTCCTTAGTGACTAAGTTATATGAAGAGTAAAGACGTAGCAATTTCCTTGAAACATTCTTTATCCTTCATGTTTAGTTAATATAAAGTTCCAGCTTTGTCATATTTCATTTCCCTAAAACTATAATCTCTAACATATAATAAAACCAAGAGAATTTCAGTATTTTTTGGCTATGGAATCTGATTCATCCTGTATTGATATTACTCGTCTTAACGAAGAGTTGCCAATGAAAATCTAGGAGAAGTTGAAATCGAGTAACAACGAAGATGATCAATCAAACATAATAAGTCTGCGTCTGTTGGATCTAACCGATGTTGATGATTTTATGGAATGGTTTACCGATGACAACGTTAATAAGTTCTGTTCTAGTGACGGTTTCTTATCCAAAGAAGATTCGATGCGATACATTGCTGATGTTGTTATACCACATCCATGGTACAGGGCAATATGCTTAAATGACAAGCCAATTGGTTCAATTTCTGTATCACCATTTCATGGAAGTGATATATGCAGGGGAGAAATTGGATACGATATATCATCAAAGTATTGGGGCAAAGGGATTGCCACCAAGGCGGTGAAGATGGTGGCGTCCACCATCTTCGTAGACTGGCCACACTTGGCCAGGCTTGAAGGTGTTGTGGCTGTTGATAATGTAGGATCACAAAGGGTGTTGGAAAAGGCTGGTTTTGTTAAGGAAGGTGTTTTGAGGAAGTACTATCTTGTTAAGGGGAAACCAATAGATATTGTTATGTTTAGTCTTTTAATCTACTGATCAACAAATTACTCGAGCCGAGGGTTTATTAGAAACCGTCAATGTACCTTCATAAAGGTAGGAATCAAGCTGCGTACATACCATCCTCTCCAGTCAAGGTGGCCATAGTGGAGTACTCTAGTATGTATAATTATATATATTATTGTATAATTCTATATATTATATTATATATACAACATTATATAACATTATACAATATTATACAAATTGTAATAAGTATACACTGGTATACCATAAGTCCATTATATATTAATATCTACTAAAAAAAAATTAGATTCTCCGATTCCTATACCAAAAGTAATTTCCTCGAAGATTTTTTATTATTCCTTTTTTGAGTTATTTGAAAGGCCAGCTTGTTGGGACACTAATTCAAAAGCCATAGAAAACCAAAATTGTTTAGGATTTGATATTTTTATAGTTTTTCTAGTTCATGTCTAAATAGGATTTTTATAGTAATTTTTTTTTATATATTGAATAGATTTTCTAGTTCTCTAGCTAATATAAGTTTTGCACAACTTTTTCGTGTTTAAGTAAAAAATTCATCTTGAGGCAATGGGATCTAAAGAATTGTCAATGAAATTCGAGGAAGTGTTGAAATTGAGTAACAACGAAGATGTTGTTATTGCAGATGATTATTCAGATTCAGACACAAGTCTTCGTGTATTGGACCTTACCGGTGTTGATGGTTTTATGGAATTTTATGCGTTTGACAATGTTAGTATGTCTTGTGACACTTTTGAATCCAAAGAAGATGTTGTTGCAGATGATTATTCAGATTCAGACATAATAAGTCTTCGTCTATTGGACCTCACCGATGTTGATGATTTTATGGAATGTTACACGGATGACAACGTTAGTATGTTCTATTCATGTGACCCTTTTGAATCCAAAGAAAACGCGATGCAATACATAGCGGATTTTATTATAACACATCCATGGACTAGAGCAATTTGTTTAAATGGCAAGGTAATTGGTTCTATTTGTGTGACCCCTTTGGATCAAGAATGGTATATGTGCAGGGCCGAAATTGGATACGAGTTAACATCAAAGTATTGGGGCAAAGGGATTGCCACCAAGGTTGTGAAGATGGTGGCGTCCACCATCTTCGTAGAATGGCCACATTTGGCCAGGCTTGAGGGTGTGGTGGATGTTGAAAATCTAGCATCACAAAGGGTGTTGGAGAAGGCTGGATTTACAAAAGAAGGTATAATGAGGAAATATTATCTTTTTGATGGGGAACCAAGAGATATGGTAATGTTTAGTCTTTTATCCACTGATCCTTTAGACAATTTGAGTCTAGATATCCCGAGGTGTGGAAAGAGCAGCTGTGAGGAGCGGAAAAACCATTCAGGAAGAATAAATTTTCGCGATACTAAAAGGAACTTTGAACGAAACTTTGGATTATTTGGAACAAGTCTTTGGATTATTTGGAACAAGTTGATAAATTAGAACATGTATCTTTAATTTCTTGCATTTTAATACAATTTTTGTTTGTTTGGAAATTGTTTATTGCTAACTCTTGTTAATGCTTTAAGATTAGGTAATCTATATATTAATTAACCAAATTGAAACATTCAACTAATACATACCAAATACAATACAAAAGTTTATTATATCATGTGTGAACATAAAAGAATAAGAAAATACAATAATGTCCATCAAGAAAATGACTGTAGATCATATGAAATAAAACAAATATAGCTGGTAATCGATACGTGAATATGAATCTATCAACATAGCAATTCCGTTATTCATGAAAGTCGTAGCTGAAAATCTTAGGCCGCGGTAAATGTTGAAGCAACAAAGAGAAGGAAGAAGAACAGAGGAGCTGCCATTTTAGTTGAAGTTGCATCATTTGAACCATCTCGTGGTGATGGTATTCCGTTAGTTCCACGTCCTGTTACACATTCGTATAGTGTTAAACACAAAGTTTAAGAATAAAAAAAGTTATAATCTTTCGTAGTCTGAAAAAAACCATAGACATTATGTAGTGAAAATTCTAAACTAAAGAAAAGTACGACACATAAATTGATATAGAAAGAGTTGTAATATTTACCTGAACCATCAGTTGGTGCTCCAGTAGGAGAGCCATTTGGTGAATCAGCTGTTTCAAAATAACTAATGTTAGTGAAGGATCTAAATTTTGTTGACAAAATGAATACAAAATTCTAAAATTGAGATTGAGGTGTGATTGATCAATTGATATAAGTCCAGGGCGGATCTAGGGTATCAGGTGCGAATTTTCATAAACCCTGTATTTATATTGAAAAACAATTAAATATAAAAAAAACTATTCGTTGAAAACCTAAAACAAAGTAACCTCTTGGTCTAGAGATAGAAATGTATCTTATTTAAGCTTTTGTTGATATAGTAGTGATCAAGCAAATTAAATATCATTATGGCAAAATTTTGGAAGTAACCCTATTTGAATACACTTTATAAAACACATTCATGGAATACGATTTATAAACGTAACTAAAATCCTAATCATCAGGTCGCCAAGAGAGCAAAAAGTGTATATGTTTTATCAAACTTGATTTGAATTCACTCACCCTATAACCTAGATTCACCTCTAAAGTGATTTTAGGATGATGAGGGCAACAAAGTTTCAAACAATATCAACAACAACATGAAATAAATCATCGATTAGGCATCGAAGACATGATATATAAACACATCATCGAGACTACTAATGACTTGATACGTGAACACATTAAGGCTATTAACGAGAAGATTGATTTTCACTTCTTACCATTGCATTGGCTAAGAGGTGGAGTTTGAACATTACAAGCAGTAGGAAGTGCCAAAGCCTGAGTTTGGTTAATATTTAGACCTAAATTTGAGGCATCACCATTAAGGACTTGACACAAACAACTTGGATTGTTGTTAACCACTGTGGCAAGTTGAGTGCAACAACCTGAAGTTGGAACAGAGGAGTTGCCAGTAATATAGTTCAAGCAAGGTGTCAAACTAATCAACACGTTCGTGCAGTCGTTGCTAGATTGAGCAACAACTCCAGAACAGATCATCGCGAATACAATCGCGAAAAAACTCATCCTGATTTGTTGATTTGCCATTTGATATGATGAGATATTTTTTTTGATTGAAGTAAGTTTGGTTACACAAATGTTTGTTAGAATAAGAAATGTGGTGTTTGTTTATATAGGAAAAAGTTGAGTAGGGAGAGTCAAAAGAAGATGTTTTTTAAAATTGGTGACCAATAAACAAATAGTAACAATTTGACATTATTTAGTATTATATTATTGTCATACTAGTTTACATAAGAATTAGGTAGATTTGGGAAAAAGTAGTTAGTTGTGTAGGTGACCAACTAATGCTAACCAATTGTGCCATTATATGACTAGTCACACAAACAGAAAAAGCCTCAGGTCAAGCTGTTTTTTTCTTCTTTCATTTTCCACGATGTCCTGTATTCATATTGGAGCTCAATTAAATTTGAACGTATATTGTTAGGCTTATTTATGGGGATGACGCTCCAAACAAGAATTTATTTTTCATTCTCAAGGTTTGAATTTGAAACTTCTACTAATTAAGATTGAAGGGATCCCAACCATCTTACCGCAATCCATTGATAATTCTTAAGCTGTTCAAAATTTGAAAACTTTCTAGAACTTACACAGAAGGTTCATATATATTAGAATAATATAGTGTACGTAAATAGTAGGCTTAAATAGTACTACTAATATATATTGGTCAAACTTGTGGAAAAATCATGGAATGAAACTTGCGCTGAAAAACTTCTAGAATTCTACTCTTTCCATTTCAAAGTTTTCTTTTATGGAGAAAATTGTTACTCAAAGAAATTTTAGTAATTTACGGGAATGGCCTCCATAGACCAAAAGGGTGATTTTGAATTTTCGGCCGCACTTAATAAAAATTCTTGAAAGGGAAAATTATGCAGAATAGCAAGTATCTAAACCATATTAAATGCTATAGCTACTATTTAGGGGAATTCTAATTCACAGCTACAGTTTTACCCAATTTTGCTATTTGCTTGATTTGTATAATTCGCCTGATTTATATAATTTGTTTGATTTGTATAAATTCAGAATTTTGTATATGTTTACCCTAGCTATTTGAATACGATTTATGAAAAATTCATAATAAATTACCATGTTTGTATATTGGCAAGTGAAATATACAAACGGAGTTTTAAAAAATTCCTAATGTATAAATACGAAATTTGTATATACTCACACTATTTGTATATTCGCAAGCAAAATATACAAACGGACAAAAATATACAACTGCAGTCTCCATAGCAAACGGAACTATAGTTATAGAGCACAATATATTATCGAAATTATAGATATAAAGCCTTATTATATTTATTCTATTTGCTATTTCTAAAATTTTCTCTAAAATTAGTTTTTCCAATATGGCAAAAGTTTGGGATATTTCAATATAAGTTTGAGCCTTTGAGGTAGTAAATTTGCTCAATTGATCACAAATTTTGCCTTATCGGTAAAAGTTGCATGTGTTCAATTGTTAACAAATTATGACATGAGTAAGATTTGGTAATGCTCATTCTAGATATAAGTTGTTATGTATTGAAAAAAGTTACTTGTATTATTCAATTGTTCACATCTTGTTCCCTTTAATTTATAAAGAGTCAATTCTTATAATCCACAAAATAATATTCTATACTTTTTAATAGAAAATGTGTATTGCTTAATTAACTCGGTCAATATAATTGAAAAGTCATAGTCATAACCAATAAACAAGAAATTACACTATTTTATATCTATGTGACTTATTAAAATGATCGGAACTCCTACTTTCGAAATTTTTATTATTTATTAAAGGGTGTCGAAATATAAAGTAAAAAAAATAAATGTTGCTATAAAGAATAGAACACACAAACTCAAACAAGTTTCGCAACCCCTTAATCACTACACTAAATCTTCAACTTATACCAAGATGTGTCTACACTAGTATATATTTATTCATTAAATCAAATTTTGACCTATTTATACAATGTAATTTTTCGACGAAGGAATATCGCTAACACCCCTACCCTAGGATAGTTCCCCCCTGCCTCGTAGGCAGAACTAACTGATGAGCACATTACAACTAAAACTAATGTCTAATGAACAAAAAGGGTTCTGTTCAACGATTTTATTCATGTTACGATTATTTTTTGGGAAAATTTTCAAAACAGCAATATTTTAGCTTTTAATGGGACTCCTTAGCAATAGTTTCACTATTTATTTAAAATGTCAATATTTTAGTTTGTTAAGGGTTGAGTTATGTATTTATTTTATTTTGATTAATTTGAAAGAATACAAATAATTAATAACAGAATAGAGAAAATCATGGAACAAAAAATTTCAAAAAAGATAAAAAAAAATAATAATTTAACATCAGTTACGTTTTTGAAAGAGCATATGTTGTCATTTTTCTTTCTAGAGTTTTTTTTCCTTTGTTCTTAAGAAATTCAATTTATTTTTTTTGAAAACAGTAGTTTGTATTTTATATCTTATATGAGTGGAAGTGTTGGAAAATTTCTAATGCCCTCTGTTTTGGATATTTAAATGTTTGAACTTCTTTGAATATGTGTTCATCCGAAAATGTATTCAAATACCTAATGATATGTATAACTAATAACTAATTAAAAATACAAAAATTGTTGGTATTGATTTATGATGAATACAACTCTTTGGCATTCTAGTTCTAGTACAAAATAAAGGCAGTTGTGAAGTATATACCAAAATATAAATACAAATTAGTTGTAAATCAAAATTATATTGAAAAATACAGTTGCGATGAATACATAATACATAGAATAAGTTGTATTCAAAATAAATTGTATTTATATTTCAATATCCAGTTTTGTTATATTATTATTTCACTTTAAATTTGCAGAAAGTATTTTCTGGCTTAGTTTTTATTTCAATATCATTTTGTATATCAAACGCAGAATGAATACCAATAATTTTGTATTCCCTTCTTGTAATGTATTCGGTCGCACAATTTTATATATTATGTATTCATAAAATTATATTGCTTTAGCCAAATAAAATACAAAATATGTCTTACTAAGTTTGTATTTCAAATATCAGGTTGTATTTCAATATCATTTTGTATATCAAACGCAGAATGAATACCAATAATTTTGTATTCCCCTTCTTGTGATGTATTCGTCGCACAATTTTATATATTATGTATTCATAAAATTATATTGCTTTAGCCAAATAAAATACAAAATATGTCTTACTAAGTTTGTATTTCAAATATCAGGTTGTATTTCAATATCATTTTGTATATCAAACGCAGAATGAATACCAATAATTTTGTATTCCCCTTCTTGTGATGTATTCGTCGCACAATTTTATATATTATGTATTCATAAAATTATATTGCTTTAGCCAAATAAAATACAAAATATGTCTTACTAAGTTTGTATTTCAAATATCAGGTTGTATTTC